CGGGCTGCTCTTTGTTCTCGGGGTGTTTGCTTCATCGCCTTCCCCGAGTTTCTCCGTCCTTGCTGGCAGAGCATACGTCCCGTGATGTGAATAAGTCACTGGACACCCGCCCGCCCGACTGGGCTGTTGTTGCGTTTTCTTTCCGGCTCCCAGGGGAGCGCTCATTCGGGCTTTTCCCCTGCTGTTGCTGTGGAGTCCTGTCAGGACGCCTGTCGGAGGTGTTCCTCCTCACGCCGGAGAGTAGGGTGCCCACTCCACCGCCCGCTCCCCTGAACATCAGATGGTCCGGGAGACGACTGTTTCCTCGGATGAAGGGTCGCTGCTGGGGGCACAGTGTTCTCCCTGCGCGGCCGGCAGAGGCTTCAGATGGACCTGGTCACTTACAATTCCGGCTCCTGTTGAGAGCCCACGTGACCAGACTTGCTCCCCAAGCAGAGCCAGGGATGCTCAGGGACGCTCAGGACGCTCGGCAGCTGCCCGCCTGAGCTGAGCAGAGAGGCCCTTCCCATGCCAGCCGCCTCTCCCCGGCAACGAGAAACACTAGACCCAGGAGCTTCGACTTTGTCCAAGGTCGTGCAGCAGGACTGGCTCCTCGGAGGGAGAACCTGAAACCCAGGCCGCATCCCCTCACTGCCCCCCGGGGTGGCCAGGCACCTGGGCTGTGTGGTCGGAGCCGGGCCACCGGGGCAGGGCTTGGCCTGGTGTCCTCTAGAGTCCAGACAGAGAGAGCTCTTTCCATCCCCGTTTACTCCAGAAACACGGTCGGGAACTGCCGATCCTTATTACCAGAAAAATAAAGTCATTACTACCAGAAAAAGGATGCTGAGCAGGAATCCACTAGAACACCAGAGAGCATGCACGAGGCCTTGTCGTGACTTCATTATGAAGACACTGCAGTGCAGGGAGGAGGTTTTTAGAAATTATTTCTTTTTTATGTGAACGTATTTGTGTTTTTTGTTTGAACTTTATTCTGACGTAAATTTAGACTTCAGAAAACTCGGAAGAAGAGCACAAAGAATTTCCACATATCCTTTGGCCTAAATTCCCTAAATGTTAACGTTTTGCCACATTTGCTCTATATTTCTCTCCGCCCTCTCACACTTTTTTCCTGAACTGTGGAGAACAAGGAGCAGATACGATGCCCTTTATGGGTGTGTTTCCTACAGACAAGCGCATTTTCTCTCATAATCTCTGCCAGATAGTCACCAAAATCAGGAACTTTTCCTCGACTGAAAGTCTTACTCAGATTTCTCCTGTCAGCCAATAACACACTTGATGTCCTTTATCTAAGGAATCGGGTCACACACTGCCTTCCGTCGTCCCGCCTCCATCGTCTCCTTCCGTCTGGAACTTTCTGCAGCCTGTTTGTCCTCCGTGGTGTCATTTCTGAGGAGGGCCATTTCTGGAGGTTGTCCCTTGTTTGGGTTTGTCTCAAGCTTCCTCGTGCTCAGCTGCTGGGACCCCATGTGACGTGTTTTCTTTGGGTGTTGATTGGGGTGTGGTCCTGATGTTAACCTTGACCCCTTGGTTAGGTCAGCGGGTTGGCTTCTCCACTGGGCACTGCCCTTGGCTCCTGTCACACTGAGTCAGTGCCTCGTGGGCGGCGCCGTGGGCCGGGTCCACGCCCTGTTCCTCCAGCTTTCGCCCGTGCTCCCAGCGTCCACTGACGGTTCTCGCCCCGAGTGGTCACTGTGATGATTTGGTCCAGCAGTGATTTCTGCCCCTGCTCCTTCCACATAGACTAGTTAGCGTTCTGCACTAAGGAGGGGTGCTCCTCCCTCCCCATGTATCCTGTTGTCACATCGTGTGGACTTCTGGACCTTTGCAGCAGGTTGGGGTTCTTCACTGTGGTCTTTTCTTCTGATGCTCAGATTGTCTCGGAGGCTGCCAGTGGAGCCCCTTCCTCCAGCTGCTCTCTCCTCGTGACTCACGATGTTGTCCTCTGAGCTCTCCTTCTGACCGACCTGAGGGTTCAGGCTCGGCGTGCGTGTGCTGCCCCAGCCCTGGAGTCGCCGTCTCTCCAGCAGCCCGGGCGTTTTGGTGGAGGTCTAGTAACTGAGCTGGCGTCCCTGCTTCCAGGCCCGTCAGCAGGGAGCGCTAGGGAACGTGTGTGCGTGTGATGTACACACACCTGGAGCATGTGTGTGGTTGGCGAAAGAGACGAAGGACCTCGTGTTCACACCGCTAGCCAATTCCGGTCCGCACCGCAGAGCCCATCTTGCCGCCGCCTCTTCCGTCACTGAAACTCACTGCCCGTCTGGGGGGCCAGGGGCCGGGACGCCGGGCATCCCCCAGGGGAGGAGTCGGGGAGCGTTGGGTAGCTGGCTGTGGAGTTGAGGTGCGGGCTCTGCGGATTTCAGGGGACTGGTCAGCCGAGTGGAGAGTGAGGAGGGTGGCGCCCTGCTGGGCCCATCGTGGCGGCTCTGGACGCCCACTGGCTCCCTGCTGCTCCTCCTCTTGTCTCCCCGAGTTTCTCTCCCTTGTGAGGGGACAGGACGTGACCTACAGCCGCCCCGGGGGACAGACTGGCGGACATACCCCTCCCTGAGCGTCCAGGGGTTTGGCGACCCTCTGTCTCCTTTTGGGGAGTCTGTCAGAAAGCGGGACCATGGCAGGGTCACCCCAACAGGCCCTGCTGTGGGCAGGCCATTCCCCGCAGTTCACGCTTGGCACCCCGGGGCTTGAGAATAGCCTGTTTTTGGAACGTTTTCCTGGTGTCCTCACTCGAGACTCCTCTGATGTATGATCAGGTCAGAACAGCTCAGAAGGCCTCGTGGTGTGGCAGGAGGTGGCAGCCTGCGCTCGTGGGTGGGCATGAGGGTGTCCCCCCCCCCACCCCGGGAGGAGGTCCTCCTGGGCCGGGCCTTTCCCTGGTGTGGCCCCATGAGGCCCGTTGGTGGTGGTGACTTGTAGGTAGGCATGGTGTGGGGGGTTGCAGGTGGGGAAGGATGGGGGTACAGGTCACGGTGCTCGCCCCGTGTCCCTGCTGGTGGCCTCTGGGGTGGTGTTGCTGTCCCTGCTTGAATGGGTCTGGGGCAGGGCTCCCTGTCACTTAGGGGCTGCTGGTTAGAACGATGCCGAGAGGTTTTTCTCCCTGTTTTGAGTTTGGAGGCGTGATCAGGCCTCACGTTTCAGGATCTAGAAGTGAGCTCCCAGATTGAATTCGGGGCTCAAGCTCAGCCATTCCCCCACCCTACCGTGACCTGGCCACAGTGAGGGCTTTGATTTCTTGGACCGTGACCCAGGGCCTGGGTCAGGCAGTCCTGACAGAAGTAGCCACGGAGACGGCAGGTCCGCGATGGGCCCCCTGCCTTTGGGCTCCGTGACGCTCCGCACGGGGAGCTGTGCTCCAGGCTGGTGGGAGGTCGCGGTCAGGCTGCCATAATCCATCAGGATTTGGGGACACTCACAGCTGCTACGAAACAAAACTGACAGACTTATGTGTGCTTTCACGTCACTGATAGCGACAGGCCGGCCGGTCGGAGGAGTTCCTGGTCTTTTAGGACACTGGTCCCCAGGAGGGTTAGTGAAGCACTGTGGCGTCTGTGGCCCAAAAGGGAACGATCAGGCCTTGGAGTTCCTGAACAGAAGGCGGCCCTCGGAGTTCTTTGTACCCAGTCCCCCTCCTCCTCCTCGTAGACTCTCCCTCCTCCTCCTGGTGGACAGCCTGTCGGGGCAGCGTAAAGGGGTCATCGTGCAGGGTCCCGGCACCACTCCCCTCCCAGTGCTCACCATGCCGGAGGGGGAGCCCACTGTGCGTAATGCCGTGTTACCTGCTCTTCATCTAGCGTTCCGTGGGCCTCACTTCACGTCCCGTGTAGCCCCGTATTTTCTAAAACAAGCGCACAGCTTTATTGTCTAGTGAACCATAATTTAAAACCAAATTCCCACTCACAGGCCATTTGGTTACTGAACAGGTTTATTTATCTTCATAAAAAGTGCCATACATTTTGGTCTGACAGCATCTGGTTAATTGTGGGGAGTTTGCAGACGTGGCCGTCTGCTAAAGCCTGTGCCTGCCTTGGGGACCCGCCTCCAGCTGCGCCCCCAGGACTGAGGTGTCTGCGTCTACCGGCCCCCTCCTCCCGCCTGGGTGGGGTGAAGCTGGGGGTGGCGTCGCTTTGCCCTAAGTGCGTTCCTCGTGAGATTGGCATGTTTCGTGTGTTGGGCGTTTGGTATCTTCTTCGGCTGCCTGCTGTGTCCTTGGGGGAGGAGGTGAGAGGCCGCGGCCGTCCCTCCTGCTGGAGGGGCCTGGGTGTGACCCTGCCCACTGAGGTCGCCTTCTCCTCACCCCTGACACGGCCGTGGTTTGCCCGTGGCCCTGTGACGATTCCACTGGGCGTGCAGGGCTGGAGCGTCCAGCGATGGAGGACCAGTCGCCTCCCAGAGTCACTGTTCCAGATGGCTGTGGGGCAGCTAGGCTGCTCGGGCTGCCCCGTGGGGTGGACGGGGAGAGTGACCCTGCCTGAGGGGTCCAGGCCCAGCATGGGCGTCCAGGTGGCCTGCAGCGTCCCTGTGCTGTGAGGCAGGCATGTCCCTCACCCTCACTGTGGCTGCGGGCGGTGGTCTTGGCTCATCGGGTGCGTATTGGTTGGGGGTCACCCTGGCTCCGGCCTGTCTCACCTCCCTGATGGATCCAGTCCTGCCCTAGGCCCCTCGGGACCCGGGGCTGAGGGGGGAAACCCAGGACGCCCCTCGAGGCAATGTCCCCAACGCAGTCTGTCCCAGGCATTGGTGCCCGCAGGGCCGTGCCTGTCTGGGTTCTCAGAGAAGGAGGACTGGTCGCTCACGGTTCTCAGAGCCCAGCACCCGCTCCGTCCTCTGGCCGTGGACACCGGCCTCCCCCACCCTGGGGCCCTGCATCCGGCCGTCGTCGCCTTGGGGCTCTGCCTCATCCCCCCTGGACCCGGGGCCCTGCGGCCCTGCCCCCACCTGCCCTCTCACTGACTTTGCCTCCTTTCACTTCCTTCTGAGACTGACCCGAGTCGTGTCCCCGACAGGAGATGGACACCCGAGAGAAAGCAGCCCGTTCATTAACAATGTGGAGGTGGACAGGGAGAGTGTCTTTGAAAGAAAGAACATGGCGCTGTTTGAGGTAATCTGTTTTCCACACAAAGCAGGCGGGCTATAGTCGGGACAAGCGGAGAGGCCGTGGTTTGGCGACCCCTAGCCTGTGGTGAACTGGGGGCTGCCCCCGACGGGACACCGTGCAGGGAGGGAGCTGGCAGCCATCCCTGGCCCTCCACGGCTGTGCCCGGTGCCCCTCAGCTGACACCTCCCTGTGAGGGGCCTCGGGGAGCCCTCGGAGTGGCTGAATCTGGGGCCATCAGGGGAACCCTGGCCTCCCTCACTGGATGGGTGGTCCTGCTCAGTGTGCCCTGGTGCCCCGACCTCTAGCCACTGACCCCTGACTTCAGACCTGCTCTGCACGTGTCCAGGGCCTCGCCGGCCCATTTCAGGTCTGGGCTTCAGGACCAGGCGCAGAGTGGGGCTCCAGACGGCCCTGGAAGTGGGCTTTCTGGCTGTCCACACGGCAGGGAGCCCTGCTGGGCGGTTGATCTAGTTGGTTTGGGGGCGGTCACTTGGGGGTTGGGGTAACTAATTCCATGTCTTGGTCCTAAACAGGAGGAAATGGACAGCAACCCCATGGTGTCCTCACTCCTCAATAAGCTGGCCAACTACACCAACCTGAGCCAGGGCGCCGTGGAGCACGAGGAGGGCGAGGACAGCAGGAGGCACGAGGTCAAGGTGAGCCACCTCCCCCGGGCTCCCCTCCCCCACCCAGGGTCCCCCCTCCCCCACCCAGGGTCCCTCCTCCCCTGCCTGCCCTCCCCCATGCCCCGGGCTCCCCTCCCCCACCTGCCCTCCCCCACCCAGGGTCCCCCCTCCCCCACCCAGGGTCCTCCCTCCTCCACCTGCCCTCCCCCATGCCCCAGGCTCCCCTCCTGCCCTCCCCCATGTCCCAGGCTCCCCTTTCCCACCTGCCCTCCCCCACCTGGGGGCCCCCCTCCCCCACCTGCCCTCCTCCACCCAGGGTCCCCCCTCCCCCACCTGCCTTCTAAAAAATTGGGGCCCCGATCCCCAAGATCATGTTCTCTCTCCTGTTCTCCCTCCCTCTGAAATCTTGACAAAAAATTGGTGTTTCCAAGTCTCAGCAACAATTTCACTCTCCATCGCTCCTGCAGGTGGCCCAGTTAAGGGTAGAAAGTGGCTTTTTCAATTTTAAACGATGATTCTTCCCTTGTTTCCCCTAACTCTTGTCGCTGAGACCCCTGAAGGTCCTGTGCTCTTAGAGGAGGGGTTGTGAGCGGGGAGAGGCCTGGGGAGCAGGACGGGAGGCGTTGTGGGGCCTGAGCCCCTGGCCTGGCTGCGAGGGGTCTGGTGTTTCCTGTAGGCTTCTGCCAGCTGGACGTGATGGCTGAGCGACCCCCCAGCACTCGAGGTCTGACAGAGTGGGGTCCCGTTGGCCGCCTCCCTGCCATCTCTCTCCCTCCCCCATGTCTACCCTGTCCATCGGGTGAGCCCCAGGGCCGAGGGGCCAGGAGCCCTGTGTCCATGGCCTTGCTCACTCCCCAAGCGCTGTGTCTGGCCTGACCTTGGCCCCCTCTGCCGTCAGGAAGTCAGGCCACCAGGAAGGAGCTCTTTGCTGTTTCCTTCCTCTTCCTGTAAACTTAGCAGAGTGAATACTCGTGTGCTTGACACTTGAGGGCGTTTGCTCTTTGTTTGAGAAGTGGGCAGGGCGGAAGGGCAGTGGCCCTGCCTGCCACCCTGGCTCCCCCCAGGCCACCCAGCACGGCCCAGCATGTCACAGACAGAAATGCAGCCCAGAACCCCGGTCGTGGTTCCTACTGAAATGTAACCTAGGTGTCCAGCCTGATGAATCTGTTCACAGCACGTGGTGTGGACCCCCCTGCCAGGTCAGGACCTAAGACGTCCCCACCCCCGGGACACAGCAGCTGTGTGGCCCCCGTCCCCTGGGGACATGGGAGTAGGGGCCTCAGGCTGACCAGCCTGGGTTTTAGTTGCAGGAGGGAGCCAGCTACCCCATGACTCTCACGTGGCTCAACCATCATGTAGCCAGGTGGACAGGTTTCAGTTGGGATGAATCCAGCTGTCCCACTTAGGACTTGAGTGAGGTCCCCTGGGGCGGGAGGGTGGAGGCCGGCCCTCATTGTCTTTCTGACTGATGAGGCCCAGAAGCTCAGGAGCTTGTCCCCAGAGATCAGGCATCGGTTCCCCTGTAAGGCGCCGTCTCCAAGGCCCGGGTGCCTCCAGCCTCCTGGGCCACGTCATCGAGTCCAGTTGATCCTTCAAAGCGGCCTTATATGAGAGAACCGAAGTCCCCTTATGCCCTTTTAAGATGACTCAGGGTCTCCGCAGCCGCAGGGCCGGGAACTGTGTCTGGACAAGCTGGATCTGAGGCTGGGCCCGAGGCGTGCGGGGCCCACGTGGGCCAGGAGCCGGGCTGCAGCTCTGACTGGAGGGATTGCTTCATTGGAATCTTTATTGATCATTTCACGGGTTAACTGAGACTGTGAAATAGAAGCTGGCAGCTGTCCCATCTTCGCTGTCACTTTGCATTTGCATTCTCGTTTTTATACGACTGAAAAACCCCTAAACCATTGTACACCCACCCTGCGGCAGGGTTAAGACCCATAGCCACTTCTCTTATTTACACAGAAACACGCATCCTGTGGGTGGGCAGGCCTGGGGTGGGAGGCACTGGCCCAGGAGCTGGCCTTGGTGTCAGGCATTAAAATCGGGCTGCCTGGTGTGTCCCGGGATCGGGGAGCTGCGTCTGTCCAGGCTTCCTGACCTGTGGCTCCCCACTCGCTCGGCTGCCCTCTTAGTTTCCCTGGCGAGCGGCCCAGCTGTGTCTGGCACTTGGTGGCAGGCATTCCCGTGTGCCGACTGGTTCATTCTCACCCCGAGAAGCCCACCTGCTTCCTTTAATGGAGTTCAGCCCATTCTCCTTTGGTGCCTGCTGTCCGGCTGGGCGAGTGAGCGGAACCGTCTCCCTGACCCCAGGCCTGTGGTGCCTTTTGAGCCTCCACTCGCGGCCCTGGTGTTCATCAGCTCTGCTGTCATTCCCAGGAAATGTTTTCAAAGCAAATCTTCCCAGCCTTTCTTTCACCTAAATTCAAGACGTTTTCCTTGTTAAACGTCGTCTTATCTTTCAGCCAGTTGTCCCAAAATCCTCAGTGTGCCACCTGACCGTGGTGTCACGCTGGCTGTGGACGGGACGGGCTGGGACCCCTTGGCCTTGTCCATCCTCTGGTGGCTGCGGGGCCGGCTAGGCAGACTCCTGGCCATGTTGCCGACGTTCCTTCCAGGCTGGTTTGCTCAGCTGTAGGGTCTTCCTGGGGTTACGCAACGGGACGTTCCCGTCGGCGCCCCCCAGCAGTCCTGGCCTGCGGTGACCCCACGTTGGGGCACCTCTGCTGTTCTTGTGCCTGGTTGTGGGCCTTTGGGAAGGGAGCACGCTCACACGGCAGCACGTTCGTCCTCTGAGCTCTTGCCGGCAGCCCCTGATCACTTCCTCCAGGCGGGTCAGGACTCAGCAGATTGCTGCCTGGAGGGGGTGTCACTGTGCCTTTTGTAGTTTTAGTGAACAGCGGCCTGTCTGGGATCCTTCTTCACGGCCCCTCGTCTCCCCTCATGTCCACGGTTTCCTAAGGTTCTAGAACCTGAGCTGCAGTCCACTGGACAGAGCCCGGAGCGTCCTGCCCCTGTCTGTTCCCCAACTTGCTCACCTCCCTGCTGTTCCCCTTGTGGAAGAGGAGGCAGAGCTGCTCCCTTTCTGCTCTGGTGAGGATGTGGCTTCAGCCCCCTCCCAGAACCCAACCCTGCTCCTGGGCAGTCGGGCGGTCTGCTCTGGAATTCCCCCAGAGCTTGGGTTCCTTCTGGGGCGTGGTCTCGAGTCTACCATTTTTCCAGGTCTGGCAACTGAAGCTTGCATCCCTGAGTCCTTTCCTTGTCCTCCTGTTCCCATGACCTCTTCGCCGTCTCCGGGGCCTCCTCGCTCCTGGGGGCGGGCTGCGGGTCTGCGCCCTGCGGGGTGCTGGTCGCCAGCACCTGGAACCCACTGTGCTCTCTTTCAGGGCCCGCGCATGGGCACCTTCATCGGCGTCTACCTGCCCTGCCTCCAGAACATTCTCGGCGTGATCCTCTTCCTGCGCCTGACATGGATTGTGGGGGCGGCCGGCGTCCTGGAGTCCTTCCTCATCGTGTCCATGTGTTGCACCTGTGTGAGTACCTGTGGCTGGTCCCGGGTATGGCGTCCTTGCCTTTGGACCTGTCCGTGTGGACGACTGGGCTCTCTGGGGTTCGCTACACTGAGATGCCAAGGTGCCCGGGTAGAGGCAGCCTCCTCACCAGGGCTGGTGTGAGCACAGGGAAGACGGGCTGTGCTGGGCCAGCTGGTCTTTACCGGCTGTTGCTTTCCTGGCGGCATCTTATCTGACTGCGTCTGCAGAAGCACAGGGGGTGAGCCTCCTGACGGCCGGGCTCTTGTGGGGCACTCTCACCACTCTGAGGGTCCTGCATTTTCACAAGGTCCCTTTCCAGTTTGGAATCATCTGGGCATTTTCGGGGATCCCCATTTAAATGAAGGGACTGCATCGCTGGCTTGTTCAGCCCCAGACCCCAGCTCGCCAGATCCACCACTCGGCCCCCACCGCACTGCATCCCTGTCTGTGTTAGCGACAGGAAGTCTCCTCTCCAGTGTTGCTGCTCTGGTTTGCCCTTAGACGCCCCTCAGCGCCTCCTTGACCAGCCACGCTCCTTCCGCTCCCCTCGATTCTTGTTTCGAGGAGGGTAATGGAGCTGGTTTCATCAGCCAAATGTCACCTGGAGACGTTCTGTCTGAAAGAATTCAAACAATGCAGACGAACGAGAGTCCCCTGGAACGCACTCAGCCGCCTCGCCTGACCTGTGGCCGCATCTCCTGGCCGCCCTGGGGGCTTCCCAGTGCCCCGACCCGTGGCCGGGAGGTGGTGTGGTCACCTAAACAGCCTCACCGTGTTCTTCCTGTTCTGCAACATGTTCTTTCACCTAATGAGTCTGGAACGATCTTTGGAGTAATTGCCACACACACACAAAAAGACGATAAAAAGCAGGATAAAGCGTAGGGCCTTATTTAAGCCATAAATGCGCCCTGGCGAGGAACTAGGTCGATGGTCACTGAGGCCTTGAGCTTTCCCGAGGCGCTGTCCCTTCTGGTCCTTAGGTTGTAAACTAATTGCTCCCTAGCCTACGGGTGTGGCCGCTTTGCTGAGCAGGTGGTGAGAGCTGGGGCAGGCCTGCCCTGGACAGGCTTTGGCTGTCCTCCAGCTGCATGTGGGGGTGGGCATCTAGATGGGTCCCCCACACCCCACACCCCACACAGGGGTGGGCACCCAGGCGGAAGCTGGCCTTTCGCTGCGCGATGGTGTTCTGAGTGGGTGTTTTCTGGGCGACCTGCAGGAGCTCAGCTTTGGGGTTAAGTGGGAGAGAACGGGGGCCGCAGTCCTGAGCATCCTGGAGCCTCGTGCCCCTGGTCACTCAGCAGCCCCTTTGCACTCAGGAGCTGAGGAGTGGGCAGGCGGGCCTGCAGGTGGGCGCTGCCCCAGGCCTGGTGCCATCGTCTCAGCGCCAGGGCAGCCCTTGGAAGTGCACTTTCTTCTAAAAGTTCCACCTGTCTTTCTGCAGACGATGCTGACCGCCATCTCCATGAGCGCGATCGCGACCAACGGTGTGGTCCCAGGTAAGGGGTGCCGGCGGCTGAGTTGTCTGAAGTGAAGTCTTCCTTTTCTGGGCGGTAACACCCGAGTCGGTGGATTCTGGTGCAGGCTCTACTTTAACATTGGTCATGACCTTGACACCAACCCTTCACCCACGCGGCCTCAGGTGAGGCCCTATCCAAAAAGGCCCCCAGTGTGGACACGCCCTTACCCGCCTAGCGGCCAGCCCGGAGGTTGCTGCCTATCATCGGTGTCAAGGGGCAAAGATCTCCACGTCTGGAGGGGTCGAGCAGGCAGGAAAGGGACGTCCTCTCAGCAGGGCCTAGACCCTGCCGGGACCCCTGTTGGCAGTGACGCCCCTGTGGGCAGCAATGCTCACATGCTCTCACCCGCACACGGACGCGTGAGAGCTGGTGCCCCTGGTGTCCTGGGCCTCTTCCCCTGTCCCCGAGTGCACAGTGGGGCCTTTCTAAGGCCGGGCTGGGGGTTCTGCCCAAGCGCTCAGAGGCTGCTGTGAGATTGGGATTCTCCTCAGAGCGGAACCTGCGTAAATGCCGCCAACACTGTTCCCGTCAGGTTTACGCCTTTGACCCCTGCACAGAGGGCCTGGCGTTCTATGAGCATCACTTCCCCTTGATTCTGAAGTTTACTTTCCCACAAACCATCACTCTCATTTTAAACTGAGGCATTTCTAAGACTACACTAAGTGCCACAGCCGGCCACATCGCCTCCAGCACTGTCTGACCGAGGCGTAGGGACGGAGGTGTCAGTGAGGCCGGAACTCGGGAGGGGCTGCCCCGGGCTCCCTGCAGGTTCACTGTGGCCTTTGAGCCCTGAGACCAGGGTGGTGGTTTCCCCACTTTGCAGGGTGGCCCCTGTCCCAGGGCTGGGTGGGCAGGGCACGAGCAGTGACCCCCAGCCAAGGAGGAAAGGGCAGGATGGCCATGCCCGGAGCCCGGGGTGCACCACAAGCTGTTGTTTGTGCCTCGTGAGCAAAGTACAGGCTCAAGGCCTCATTTATTTGCGACCTGGGTTTGAGGAACTGAAATGGCACCAGCTCTGCTCCCTGGTGTGTGCAGCCTCACGAGTACAGGTGAAGCCAAGCTTGTTTGCACCCCAAGTCCTTGAAGAACTGCCCCCTCCGCCCAGGGCTTCCCTGCCGCCAAGCACTATGCAGTGGCGCTCCCCGGCCCCGCGGGCGCGGTGGTATGGACCGGGAGTGGCCGTCCTCCTGCTCACAGGAGAGTGTGAGGGGCTTTCCTGGTGGGTCTGCCGCCCGGCGTGGGGATGAGTCTCACTCTGCTGTGACATGTCCAGGAGGAGAGCCCCTTCTCTGGGCTGGGAGGCCCTAACCAGGCTCACCTGGGGAGACGATTCCAGGGCAGATTGGCTTGTAAGGTTGTTTTTCAGAAAGCGGGGTGCACCCTGAGAAGTTCTCCGGTATTCCAGCGTCCTGCCGTGGTCTGCTGGTCGGTGTCTGAGTGTGGTCTCAACCAACTGACAGAGTGGGCAGGGAGAGACCTGCAGGGCCGTGGGGTCAACCGCACTCTTGGGGTGTGATGCAGAAATGATGTCTATGCAACCCTAGGTTTCTTAGGCCTTGGGGCAAAAGTTTTCAGAATCGAGGTGTTGGGTCTGACGTCGCAACGTGCCGACTGCTCACGGGAGCGGCTCTTGGGACTCCGTGCCTTCTGCTTGTGGCTGTTTTTCAGCACAACCCTCGTTTAGTCACAGCTTCCAAAGAGCTGTCTGCTCTGTGAGGTCTGTGTTCACGGTAAACGGCGCATCCCTAACGTGCTGTTTCTCGCCTGGCGTTTTTGCAGCTGGAGGCTCTTACTACATGATATCGCGGTCTCTGGGGCCCGAGTTCGGAGGGGCTGTGGGCCTCTGCTTCTATCTCGGCACAACGTTCGCAGGGGCCATGTATATTTTGGGGACCATTGAGATTTTTTTGGTAAGTGTCTTGTTTTGGGCTGGTTTCCCTTGCCCAGGCCCATAGCCCACAGTCAGCTTACAGGGGATCCTGGAAGGACACTGTGTGTCCGTCTGTCCCAGAGCCCATAGAATCCATCCCGTGGCACACAGTGCCCCCCTGAACCGTCCTCACCCCGTTGCTCTGGACACCTGCCACCTCGGGCTCTTGAAGGGCCCTGGGCTGTGGCTGGAACCACCAGGCAGTGTCTGTTTGGCAGTGACCCGGTGTCCCTCTCGGCTCCCTTTTGGGGTCAACCCCCAGGGTGCTTGCCAAGTGGATGTCTGTATGTGTGACGGGGTGTGGCCTGAGCCCAGGAGTGGAGCCTGAGCCATCTGAGGAGTCAGGGCTGGCGGGAGAGGGCCCCTCAACCAGGATTCCCGCCCTTTCCTGTGGACCCTACTTGATTTCTCTGTGCACATGGTGGTCAGGCATGGCTGCTCAGCATGGTGCTCACTAGATGAAGACGTAGTCTCCCAAATTACCTGACTGGCCGAGGTGCAGGTCATGTGTGGTCTCGTGGACAACGGGAACCCGGAGCCTGCAGGCTGTGAGCTCATGGGGTGCGGCCCAGCGGGACAGCTTCTGTGACAGTGACCCCAAGGGCAGCACTTCTTGTAAAACCTTTCTTCTCCACTGTTCCTTGTCAGCTGGCAAACATTTTGGGCCCCTCTGCCTAGAAACTTGAAACTGAAGTATTTGCACTTAGTTGTTTGCTGTATTTTAAGTATAAATGCCTTCCTGGTTTGTCAGACCCTTCAGAGGTCACTCTCTTGGAGAGCCTGCTGGTCCCCACCTTCCGTCCTCCTCCTGCTCCAGTGCCATGGGGCGGCTGCCAGCGCCACCTGCACCTCAGGATGGCGGGCAATGGGGTGACGTGTTCCCCGAGCCCCTGTTAGTCAGGTGCCCACAGCTGATCCTGCCTGCGTCTCAGGGAGCTACATCACTGGTCGCTCAAGCCTCAGCAGGATGCACTGAGCATCCATCCGGTGTGGCCAGACTCAGTGCCAGCCCAGCGTGGTTCTCAGGGGGCTGTGCTGGGCTGGCCCTGGACTCTCCCAGAATTACATCCCTGTTAGCAGAAAAACGTTGCTTTTCCTTCAAATTAGGAAGGTGGGGTATCCTTGTTTTCTAAAGCTGCCTCACTTTGAAGGGTGCTAAGTTTCATCTCAAGCGTGCCCCATTCTTCGCCGTTTGATGCCCCTGTTTTGTGCATCACGAGGTCCACTGTGAATGCATTCTGGTGGAGTGGGGGCTCACGGGGAAGGAGGCAGCCCAGCGGCCTAGCCCCTCCAGAGAGGGGCACTTCAGAAGGTGCTCGGGTTCATGTCTGGCCACATCTCCTGGTGTGGTCACCTCCCAGGCGGGGGCAGGCGGGCTGCCCTTCTCGACCCTGCTTTGTCCCCCACAGACCTACATCTCCCCGAGTGCGTCCATCATCCAGGCCGAGATGGTGGACGGCGAGGCGGCAGCCCTGTTGCACAACATGCGTGTGTACGGAACGTGCACGCTGGTCTTCATGGCCATGGTGGTCTTCGTGGGCGTCAAGTACGTCAACAAGCTGGCCCTGGTGTTCCTGGCCTGTGTGGTGCTGTCCATCCTCGCCATCTATGCTGGCGTGATCAAGACCGCCTTTGACCCCCCAGACATCCCGTGAGTCCTGGGGCCCGTGGTCGAGGGTCAGTGCTCGGGGTCCTGGCCCCAGGTCTGTAAAGATGCAGCGTGTCCTCGCCTGGTGTATAGTTCAGGCTTTACCTGCGGTTGTGTCAGGCGGGCCTGGGTTGGCGGTGCTGTGTCCTGCAGCCTGCCCTTCTCTCACTGGGGCCAAGGATGAGCGTGTCAGGATGCTCTTGTGACCGTGCCATCTGCAAGGATAGGACAGGAGGTTTCGTGAAGGTTCAGGGGTGTGCGGGGTAGCCGGCGGCCCTGAGTCTGGTCAGGTAGCACCAAGCTCCTCCCGCTTGTGGCCTGCCCTTGGCAGCTCCCTGTGTCCTCACGGAAGCCCCAGAATTGTTTTCTTGTCCCACTTCTTTTTGTGTGAGGAAGATCAGCCCTGAGCTAACATCTGCCAATCCTCCTCTTTTTTTCCTGAGGAAGACTGGCCCTGGGCTAACATCCATGCCCATCTTCCTCTCCTTTATATGGGACGCTGCCACAGCATGGCCTGCCAAGCGGTGCATTGGTGCGCGCCCGGGATCCAAAGCGGCGAACCCCGGGCTGCCGCAGCGGAGCGTGCACACTTAACCACTGGCGCCACCGGGCCGGCCCCTCTTGTCCCACTTTTGGATGAGGATGCTGAGTTGCAGGGAGGTGGCCCAAGGTCATAGAGCGAGTGCGGGAGCCAGTGGTGTGACAGGCATTCCGATGTCAGGCTGCCCGGTGGGCCCACTGCCCACGGGACTGATCCACCAGGAGCCTGGGCAGGCTGAGTGGCGGCTGGTACTGAGCCCCTTCCTGGCTCCTGCACTTTGCCGTCTCCACGTGGAGGAAGCCGATGATGGGAACAGCCCCATTCATACCTGTATCAGACACCCCAGAACAGAGGGCGGCAGTGCAGACCGTGGCTCAGCCCCACGCTGCGTAAGAGCCTGTGATCGGGAAGTGCAGTCTCAAGGGGCTGCTGCAATCCTGCTTAGATATTGATCCCTAGCAGCTCATGCGAACCTTCCTGTCACACTAAATGGAGAGTGTCAGAAGTCACAGGGGACCCCACAAACCTCTGGTTGCCGGAGAAAAGCAGAGGGAGTCATTTCACAAGGGAGCTGTGTGTCTCACTGTGTCCCTGCTGCCCACTCCAGAGTCTGTCTGCTGGGGAACCGCACGCTATCAAGACGCAGCTTCGACATCTGTGCCAAAGTCAGCACCGTCAACAACAGTACGACCACCACTGCGCTCTGGGGCCTTTTCTGCAACAGCTCCATGCCCAGTGCTACCTGTGATGAGTACTTTGCCCAGAACAACGTCACAGAGATTCAGGGCATCCCCGGTGTGGCCAGTGGTGTCCTCCTGGGTAAGTGCCGGGCAGGTCTTGGCCAGGGCCGGGTCATGTGAGGAAGACCCCCTGGGTCCCGTCCTTCTGCCCAGCCCCTGCCTGCTCCACCCCCTCCACCACTGCTGACCTTCCCGCGGCCCGTGATTGTCCCCAGAGCTGTAGACGCAGTCGTATCATGGAGGCCAGCGGGACAGGGGCTCAAAGGTGATCCAGTATTTTTAGGACTTTGTAGCACCATGCATGGGGAGCTCATCCTCTTACCAAGGAAAGTAATTAATGGGTGGTGACTGGGTTTTTTCCCCTTGTGCATTCTTCTGTGATGAGAGGTTGGGCCGGCTCCTCCACTGCCCGGGAGAGATGCCTGACCTTTTAGGGAAAAGGAAGAGAATGATCCTGAGACCTTGAGTTGGGACCCTGGTTGCCCTGGTGTAGATCGGCATCACGTGTCTCTCTGGCTGTGATGACAGTGGGTGTTGGGGGCACGAGGGCCGTGCTGAGTGGAGATGGGTGGGCAGTGGGGGGATGGGTTGTTGCAGTGACCGCCATTCACGCATCCCTGGGAGCACGGGGGTCCTGACCCTCCGAGCTCCGAGCTAGAGAGCCCAACCCCCCAGTTCTGGGTTCTGACTTCTCAACCAAAGTCGCAGAGCAAGACTCCTGGAGGGGTTGGCTGTTGACAGGCCATAACGGGAGGGTAGATGTGGAGGCAGAGAGGGGATGCCATGTTCACAGGGGCAGGAACGGAAGTGAGGTGTGGAGATGATGTGCAGAATGAGGAGTCCGTGGTGAGGGGAGGGATCTCTGTGAGGAGAGGGGTCCCGGGGAGGGGGAAGGGGTCCCCTTGGAGGGGCGTTTTCCTGTGAGGGGCGGGGTCCCTGTGAAAGAGAGGGGGTTCCTGTGAGGAGAGGGATTCCTGTGAAGGGGAGGGAGTCCCTGTGAGGAGAGAGTCCCTGTGAGGGGGGAGAGGGTCCCTGTGAGGGGGAGGGGGTTCCTGTGAGGAGAGAGTCCCTGTGAGGGGGAGAGGGTCCCTGTGAGAAGGAGAGAGTCCCTGTGAGAAGGAGAGGGTCCCTGTGAGGAGAGAGTCCCTGTGAGGGGGAGAGGGTCCCTGTGAGGGGGAGAGGGTCCCTGTGAG